TTGTATAAGACATTTACATTTGCACCATAAGAAAGAAATTTGTATTTACATCATGGCATTTGCATCCTAAGAAAAGGTATTTATAGGGGCATTTACATAAAAAGAACATTACCATATGTATTGTGAAAAAGTCAAATGTATTTACATTAACCATTCGTATTATTGCATTTGCATTGACATTTGCATTTGCATCAACATTTCCATTAGCATCATTTGATGAGAATATACATTTGTATGATGATTGCATTTATCAACTTTGTAAATATTAGAAAAAAAAGAGCAAAAAAAAAAAAGATTCAAAGCCTCTGTTTAAGGGGAACCATTCTTAAAGTTTCAAAGTCTCTGTTTGGAAGGAGCCATTTTCAAGCAAGATTTTTTTTTTTAAAAAAAATGTTTCAAAGCCTTTGTTTAGGGGGAGCTATTTTCAAAATTTCGAAGCTTCTGTTTAGGGGAAGCCAACTTTAAAGTTTCAAAGCCTCTGTTTAAGAGGAGCTATTTTCAAAGTTTCAAAGCCTCTGTTTAGGGGGGAGTTACTTTAAAAGTTTCAAAACCTTTATTTAGGGGAAGTCATTTTAAAAGTTTTAAAGCCTCTATTTAGGGGAAGCTATTTTAAAAGTTTCAAAACCTCTATTTAGGGGGAGCCATTTTCAAAGTTTCAAAGCCTCTATTTAGGGAAGCTATTTTCAAAGTTTCAAAATCTTTATTCGAGGAAAGCTATTGACAAAAGCACAAAAAAAAAAAATCCCAAAAGCATCATCCAGACAAAATTGTTTATGTCTTTGCATTATTTTTGATTCTCTGAAACACTCAAAGAGGGACAAGTGTAGATACCAAATCTTGTCCGAAATATTTTAGCATGGTTGAATAAAACCATTTGAAGCCCATAAAAATGCCCTTTAAAGACCCCATAAAAATACATTGATATTTAGGCCTAATAAATAAAGAAAAATGAGACCCGTATGGTTATTGTCAAACTTTTTCACCTGAGATTTATATAGATGATACCTTTTCACATGGATGAATAAGAAATAAAGAATAAATGAAACGAGTAAATCCTAAAGTCAACTTTGATCAAAATTGTACAAAACTTAGTCAAAATGAATAGAATCAAGGTCAATCTTTAAAGTTCACAACCTAATTAGAATCAATGTGGTTTAAAATTAAATTTGGTGAATTTTATAACACTAAAAAATTTTATTACACTAGGAGAAGTATAAAATTACTAAAATACCCTTTTAGAGATATTTTCATAATTTGGCCCTCCTGAGCTCGTATTTTCATGAAATTGAAATCACAGCAGTGCCTCAATAAATGTGAAATATCAAAATACTCTTATAGAGGTATTTTTATAATTTAACTTTCTCAAGCTTGGATTTTTATAAAACTTTTTAGATCTCAATTTTATAATATTTCATGAATTTTGATGTTTTAAAATCACAAAAAAAGTATGGGAACATTGATTTCTAAGAAAATGACTTAAATGTCGAAAACTTTGTACTAGGGGTAAAATAGTCTTTTCATTTGGCTTGGGGGCTATAAAAATCCAATATTTGTAGTGAATAATGAGGACCATTGGATTTCTCATTGAATCTTAATCCAATGGCTAAAGGTTGTTCCTTGCAAAAAAAAAAAAAATTTGGCCCTTTGATTAGATTGGATCCAAAGGCCTATACTCACAAACAAAAGAGATTTTTTGAAGGGGTTACCAAAAAGAAAGCAGGGTTGAAAAAAAGGCTGGGAAGAAGCTGCTTAAAAAAAAGAAAAGGGGGAGAGGCATTTTTTTGAAGGGAAAAAAGAAAAGAAATGGTAGCCTTTTTTGTCTTTTTAGTTTGCTTTCATGCTTGTTGATGTTGTCATTTTCATAAAAAAAGCTCAATTTTCTTTTATGTTTGTTGCCTTTACCTTCACTGTATATTGGTTTGTTTGATGCAAAATTGTTAGTTTAGTTGGATTGGTGTCCATTTTTACTACTGTGTCCACTTTCTGATTAATGCTTTGTATGTGGAAATAGTAGCTAATCTAGTTCCAAGCTTGTTTTCGTGAAATGATGCTATAAGTATTATAGTTGGTTTGTATTTTTAATGGTTTCTTACAAGAGAGCTAGTTAGAGGAAAAGTAGTGGCGATTATGGCCTTGAAAAACTCCACCAATAACTAAAAAAAAAAAAAGAAGAAAAAGCTTCAAAATATAAAAACTAGGACATATAGTTTTAGGACTTGTCAAAGTCGCCTTTTATCATTTTATAACTTTAAACAAATAAAATATTGCATGGGAAGGTGACTTTGGTCTAAGATTGGATGGTAGGGGAGCCATAAGTTTTTATTTTACTTTAATAATAAATAAAAGCTTCAATACATGCCGAAAGTTGCTTGTTCTCTGTAATGCCTCTCTTCATGCATGACTTATCATTCAAAGCTATGCACACTTTTTTTACAATTCAAAATTTATGTGTTTTTTTAGACTTCTAATGAGTGGATCTATATGTTTATCTTGATTTCTTATGCAATTTAAAATTTTATATTCAAATTTACTTTTAGAGTAATTTGTTCTTCATGTATGTTAGATTTATGCAAATTTATTAATAATAAATGGAATGAAAAATTTCAAGGATAATATTTTAGAGAAATTCGAGTAGCGATTCTCTAAAATGTCTAGATAAGGATATTTTTCTAAAAAATGCTACCAAAGTAATGGAGAATTTAGGAAAATATCAATAAAAAAAGTTTCATTTATATATTTTTTTAAAAATTTTGATAGATGTTAATAATAATGTGTAATGACTCATTTAGTAACGAAATTTGTATAATTAAAGATAAAAAATTAGAATAAAATATAATTAATTAAACGAGAAAGAAAGAAATAAATAAAATCTCCAAGGATGAAATTCTAAGGAAGTCTGAGTAAAGACTCCTAAGAGATCCCTAGGTGAAGAAATTTTTTTAATACCACCAAAGTATTAAGGTATTTAGAAAAATTTTCAATAAAAGATTTTATTTACTTTATTCCTTTCTAAAGTTTTATTGATAGTTGTGAAATAATTAAATAAATTGAATCAAAATTAAAATGAGTAATAATTTTTATTATATATTTTGTATGCATATTTTGCTTTATTGTTTGCATTATATAGTTTTAAATGTAAATGAAATTACTGATGATGGGATCTCAGAAAAGTTCGACTAGTAATTCTCGAGAATTTCCTAGATGAGAAAAGATTTTTAAAAATTATCAAAATATTGAAATATTTAAAAACTTTTTTCAAAACAAAATTTTTAATTAATTCGAACAATTCTCGTAAAGAGATAAAAAATATACATATTTATAAAAGTATGCATTTTTTAATAATAAAATTAAGGAATGAGAATTTTCGATGATAGAACTCCGAAAAGTCTGAGTAGTGATTTTTGAAAATTTTCTATGTAAGAAAAGTTTTCTAAAAATTACCAAAATATTGGAATATTTAGAAGTTTTTTTTCAATACAAAAAATTTCCATTTCTTAATTATTTTCTTTAATTTGAACAGTTTTTCTTAATAAATAACAATGTGTTTTTTTGGAAATAAATATATTTGTAGATAACTATATTATTACATGACTTTTAATAATTAAAAAAAATAGACAAAAAATCTTTGAAGATGAGATCTTAAAGAAATCCTAGTAATGATTCTTTAAGAATCTTTAGATAAAAAAAATCTATCTAAAATACTGTCAATATATTACAGCATTTAAATTAATTTTTGATAAAATTTTCTCCTTTTTTTATAAATGGCATAGAAATAAGTTTTAGAAAATACTATTTGTTTTAAAAATTATAGATATCATATTTTATGTTTTTTTAACATAAAATATTGAAAAAAAAAATGAACCACCAATGATAAGATTTTTGAGAATTTCAAGTAATGATTATTAAAAATTTCTAAAGTGAGATGATTCATTTTAATATTACAAAAGTATTGGAATATTTGTAAAAAATTTTAAATATAAGGTTCTTATTTATTCAGACTTACTAAAAATTAAAAATATGTTTTTAAAGAAAATTAAAGAAATTAAATCTTTAAATACCAAAATTAAGATTATTTTAGTCAATATTAAAAGATAACACATAATTAATTGGTATTATTTTAAATGAGGGCTATGAGAGTGCTAATATTTTTCATACGTAACCGATTCATGACCCTAAACTGTTTTTGCAAACCAAAAAATTATTTTTTTAATAAATTTTAATTAATTTTAAAATTTTATTAAGAATGAAGTTTTAATAGGTAGTCAATCATATTTAGCTAAAAAAGATTTGTGACAATTCCATATTTTGTTTTTTACATTCGTCTAGTGGTCTCCAAAATCGTTACGACATGAGTGATAATGGTTCGCATTGGATTGGATTTGGTTTAGGTTTTTTCAGATAATGCATAATATTATTAATTTTTGAAATTCAATCCAAATTTGAACCAACCTTTTTTTGAAATCATCCAAATCGAACAAAATTTTATTGACTCGATTTATCAATTTTTAAAATTTAAAATTTTTGTTTTTATATATTATTTTAATAAGATTTTAATATATTTAAATGGATTTATGTATAAAATATTTTTTATTTTTATAAAATTTTTAAAAAATATAAAAACTAATAAAAATATATAATTCGATTCAATTTAATTTTTTTGAAATTTTCATATCTAAATCTAATTGAAACTGAATATATACATTTAATATTCAACCTTAATCTGAACTGAATAATAAAAAAAATTAATTCAAATCGAATCAAATACTATAATTTTAAATTAATTCTTGATTTTTTTTAATTTTTTCTCACCTCTATTTAATAACCCGAGTAAAGAAACATTTTATGGGTGTAAATAAAATTTCTCAATTTTAATTTCCTTTTTAATAAATACTCTTACCGTTGTTGCACATAATAGAATATTATGTGTCCATCACCCATTTTGTAATTGCCCCTTTATTTATATTTCCCACTCATTCCCAAATTTCACTTTCCCGCCTAAAAAATAATTTCTCCTTCCCTCCCTTTTTCCCATCCCTTATAAAAATCTAGGGTTTCCATTTTCTTTCAATATTTTTTAAAATTCATTTTGCTGAAAATGCCTGGCCTTGGAAATCTTTCTCACTCTTCATCCCTGTCTCTGTCTCCTTGCCCTAACTTGAAGCTTCTCTCTCTTGACTCTGCCGATTCAACCGATGCTTTTGACCCTGGCACCCTCAAAACCCTTGCCCTTAAATGCAATTGGGGCCAGAGATTTCCCCACAAAGGCGTGGGCTGCAATGGGAATGGAATTAGGGTTTTGAAGCGAGCGAAGAAGGGGTCTAATGGTAAGGTTTTGGAGGATTATTTGAGAGATTGGGTTCAGAGGAAGATGGAGTCTGGTGTTCCTAAGTCCCGTTGTTTTCTTCCATTTCTCGTCGGGGCTAAGAAATTGGTATTTCTATTTCTTGTTTCTTCATTATTTTGCTGTTTGGTTGTTGGAAAGTGTGTGTGAAAATAAATGGAATTTAAGTTTGAACTGTGGAATTTTTATTTGTTGATTTTCAATTGGTTTATTGAAAATGGCAGAAAATAACGTAAGTAAAAAAAGTTGAAATTGCGGGAAGATATATGACGCAACTAAAGTTGAAGAAATTGACTATTTCTTGGTTTTCCCTTTTGTTGCTTGGGGAATCTGACAATTCAATTACATGGTTTATGTTCAATAGCTTAGAAAATGTGGGAAAGAGAAGACATAGGGCGATGGTTGTTTATTATTAAATTAAATTTAAGGAGTCTGGGAAATAGAGATGTTAATTAGGTTATTTTGAAGATGACAGATATCTAGCCTATTTGGTGTGGGATTGTTTTGTTTGCAATTGAAAATATAGCCACTTTAGAATTAATGTTTTTTTTTGTTTGTTTTTGTTTTTGTTTCTTTGCAATGATTTCTATTGGCAACATTAGATTCTGATTCCATACCAATTTTATCCTTGCTCTTGGCCCGAAGTTATTCTTATGTTCCTTTAGGTGTATGGTGAGGGAATGTGGCAAACGAGTGATCGGCAATGGTTTACGTGTGGCAAAAGGAGGATTGAAGCTGAGCTCTGATTATTGAGTGCTGTGATAGGTGAAAAAGATAGTTAGTAGGATACTAGAAAGAGGATGGAAGTAAGGTATAGGAAAGAGGGAAGGGAGATTGAAAGCAGAAATAATGAAGTAGGAGCTGGCGTTAGGAATTTGAATTGGAAAAAGACATTGAGAATAGATAAGTGAGATAGGGAGTTCTGTATATTAATCATTTTGTTTGCCAAATGAAACCCATGTATCATTTATATAGGTTATGACATTCACTTAATGCAACCAATAAGAAAGTTGGTACCAGTTCATTTTATATTAAAGATAATCACTGTAATCTTAGGTCAATTAACTATTATTGTGAGGTTGTGATGAAAAGTTGAAATAGTCTAATGAATTGGACTATGGCGCATGGGAGGCACTCATGTATCCCATAGAAAACTTAAGCTAAGGACTTTTAACTATCTGTATATCTTAGCCTTCAAGTCAAGCTTTCTACAACATTTCAAGAGAAAGGATCTTTTCAGTTTTCATTCATCTTGGGTTTAAATCTGTGTATGTGTATTACGTTGGTCTTACCTGCAATAAAGGATTGAGAATGAGGTTAATTTGGTACATTTACTAATTTGTAATTACAAAAACTCCTTGATGGTACTTGGTGGCTTCATAGTTGCTTTATACAAACAGCCTTAGAATTTACAATTAATGGAAAATTGGTTTAGCAGAAACTACATTATGCAATGTGGGGTGTGCAAAATAGGTGTTGTAGCTATCTTATTTTGCCACTAAGTTTTTTGTTTAGTTTGTCAGGGGAATTTTTTTCTGGGCAAAATGGGTATCTTCTCAATTTAAAGTGGTAAACATCACTGAAACATATCTTTATATTTTGTGCCTTGTTCCATTTGGATTTCAGATTGAGTGCTGCAAGAAGTTTTAATTATAAAAGAATCTTAATCCTTGAAGTTTATGATATTTTAAGACTCTAATATTGTGAAATTTACCTAGAGTTTTTGTGGTTAACTACCACCTTCCTCTTTGTAATTTTTCTGTTGCTTCTTGCATGTAACTAGTTTCTCTGTTCCTTGTTCATTACTGTTTATTTATCAGATGAAGAGAAGAAATGTACTGCATATTCTTACAAAGAGTTCAGTTTGTTGCATGATACATTGCTAACAGTGACATTAGCAGTTATGGTATAACTGCATCGATTGACACCTGTCTGTTTATCATTTTGAAACTTGAATATGTATGTGCTGCTAGATTTTACTGCCTTTTTGTTTCTAATCTCTTATTAACTTTTTCATGAAATTGAGTTTCTCATTGTGTATCTAATATCCTTTGATTGTAATAAGCTAGTGGATATTTGACCATTTCTTTTTCTTTTTTGTTCTTTTTTCTTTTTTTCTGAAAATTCATCACAGGTTGAATGTCTCCATTGCCATAAGCTCATCTATCCAGGGGAGGAGGTCTTATGCTCAGTTCGTGGTTGTCAAGGAGTTTATCATGAAATATGTGCCAAAGAAAGTCTTAAGATGTCTAACCCAAAAAAGTTCCAGTGTCCACAGCATGTAATTCTTGCATCTGCTAATTTATTGTTTACTTTCAAAGATGTTATATCCTTGTACTATTTCTTTGCTTCTATCTAGCTAAAATGTACCTCATCGTTTGCAAAGTAGAAAGGGAAAAAGGGAGAGAAGGGCATAGATATGTATGCAAATTATAGTTTTCTTGCCTGAATAGGAAGTGCCGTACAACCCTAGTGTTTTTTCTTTGACTTTTAGTTTTTGTTTGTGTGTGTATTTCTTTACAGCTGTTTTCTTATAATGTTGTTATTGTTGATTGATAAAAGTCTTCCTGGATTATTTTCTCTGTTCCTTATTGTTCATGTGGTTTTTGGAATTAAGCATAATTTAGTTACTACTCAAAGGTTACATGTTTTCTTTTGAATGAGTAGTTTCTTGCTTTAGGGACTGAACCCTAAATTTTTAAAAATTCTATGACGTTAGAATCGTGTTATGCTGTCTTCATCAAAACTTATTGCTTATTTCTCTTGTTAAAGATATGATCAGAGATTTCATCTGTAGAAACTGAAAGCAACTTCTTGTGTTAGTTTTGACCAGAAATCTGAAAATGTTTCAAGTTTGATGTTTGTTCTCAGCTACTGCCTATCTGACCTCTTCCCTTAAGATTGTGACTTATTTTATCCTGGATGATTATGATATATGTGAGGATTGCAAACGTCTTTTCTGAAACATGTTCATAATTATGACTTGCAGTTTTACTTATCTACTTGGCATCTTCAATGAATAGGTATGCTTCATTTGCAGACAGAGATTACAATGGCGATGTGTATGTTGTACAATGGCATCTCATGATAAGTGCTCCCCATGGCCAGATGCAGTGGTTCGTTTGAAGGACAAATCAGGGAGAGTAATTTGTTGGAGGCATCCAACTAATTGGCGGCTAGATAAGAAGGTCAATTTCTTCTTTCCTTCATCAGATATGTCCTATTTCTGTTTTTATCCTTATAGTATTATTCCCCATGACAAGGCTGCCTTAAAGTCTTCAGCAGATGTGATTGGCATGGCAGTGGCTGTATCTCAAACAAAAATTTTATTTAACTACATTTTCTTTCTTTGTTTTCTTTTTTGGGGTGAATGCTAAGACTTTGGATTTCTTTTTTCATGTGAAATACTTTTGTAGTATGCCATATTTAATCTTGAGGTCATGTTCTGGTTAATTGTGCTGAATACCTAAACCTACTCCAATTCTGGAATAGCACTTAGAAATTTATGTCTCCATCAAAGTTTTTAGTAATTGACTTGGAGTCTAGTCAGCCATTTGGGTGGAATTTGAAGCATGAAAAGATATTTTGGATTACTAATTACATTGGAACTTATGGTTGTATTTTGGAACTTGAATTTGGAAGGAGGTATTGAATTCAAGGTTGTTATTATCATATTGGATGATGTTTTGGGTTTTTTTTTTTTTTTTTTTGTAAAATGCTATATGGCAGTACTAGTGGTTTTGGCATATTATTTTGGACTTTTTGGTTTAGTACAAATATATTTCTAAATATATATGAACTTGTACATAATAATACAACTAATAATCTACAAAATAAATATTCAATATTTTCAAAAATCAAATAAATAAGTTTAAAAGTATAAGAAATAATATTATCAATTTATCATGATATTTTTAAGCATTTAATATAATCATATGATATTTAAATGAGTATTTTTATTTTTCATGTAAATATTAAGATAAAAACAAAGAGATGAAAACAAAAAATCTTGGCTTTATAATTGTTAAAATTTACAGAGGGAGTACAATTGTTTTCTTGAAAGAGATTAAAATATTTACGAACTTTGGTTTGAAAAAATAAAATATAAAAGAAAACAAGTTATAGTAAAAAATAGAGAAATTCAACTTTCAAAGGTTCTTTTGTCAATTAGTTTTATTTTTATTAAGTCAAAAATAGTCAAACAACAAAGACAAGTTAAAAATTAGAAAACATATTTCATATTCATGTATCAGCCAAAACAAATTAATCCATTGATATTCACCGAAGCCAACGAAATCAACAAGTATTACCTGGTACCAAGTTTGGTACGAAAAATCACCTTTAATTGTGTCATGTTTTGGTATAATTGAAGTGTATTGGCCAATACAAACAGTATCAAAATGAAATTAATAACATTGATTGAATTCCAAATTTAGCATAAATTGTGATAGAAGTTATGAAATGACTTTCATGATTAAACTCAAATCTATACATTTGTTAGAATCTATCATTCAATGAATTTGATATACTTAGATGTTGAAAATGGTTTTAAGGTCTTCCATCCTTACTCTCTTAAACAAATAGTTACCTTGAAATTTTATTAATTTTTATAGAATGTCTTTGGTCTTTGACTCGTACCAGATTTTAAGTTAGATTATAAATCTTATCATATAAAAAAGGTTATGGGTGTAACATTGGCGTAGTTGTTGCAAGATCCATAATTTATTGTTTGATGCAAGCTTTCAATTGTTATGTTGTTGATAGAACTCTAGGTGTTGCAAATTCGTTGATTCATACCAGAGTTTGAGACTTGCATAGATGCATGGCCAGAAGGATTGAGTTTGAGTTTGCCCACTTTTACCCTCACCAGTCATAAATGTGATTTGAAACCTCATCCATGACCATATTCATGTTTGGTAGGCTAAGAGTTGCATGCAAGATCTTACATCTAATCCATTTCTCAAATTTGAGATTTGTAAATCCCCCTTTTGTGCTGGAGTTTGAGCTTTTTGTGCTCGTGTGTATGCTTATGTCTAACATAGTGCATGCCCTATAAAAGCTTTCAGGTCTAGTTAGTTATTGTAAAGGATTCATAGATTGGTCTATGATTTAGTTATCCTGATCACAGTACTTACTGGTTTCATTTTAACTGTATCATTTTGTTTTATCTTGAGGTTTATCTCTCCATTCTTATTTTCTATTGATTAGGTTGGCTGACTGGACTTATATATTTGTTGAATGAGCAGCATGCAGTTCCAGCAACTGAAATAGAGGTGAGAATTTTTTTTGCACTTTCTTAGTGAAATTGTTCAATTTATATGGTATAAACTTCCACTATATGGATATTAAATAATGTATAAATTATTAGTAGATGTTTATGGGAAGCAAGGCAATATTATCAGATAAGTTTTTCAAGTTTGGGTCAGAAATGTTTTGATACTCTGACATTATTCAGTTATTATTATCTGTGGTAAATTGAAGCTTCCCAATATGCCATAATGAGAGTGTATGTTGCATTTCACATTTCACTTAATAGAAAAAATGGGGAAAGGTTGCAGTTTAAACTTGCAACAATTAGCTTTTGCCTATGTATTGTCAGATATGAGTGTCAGATTGACTTGATACCTATATGTCTTCTATACTTTGGTTTGGAAAACAAATTATTTCTGGTTTATCTTTAAAATCTGAATTCTATGAGTTACCCAAAGAAGGTAAAGAAAAGATTATTATGCCTCATTAATTTTTTATAAGTTTATTGAGGAGTTTGTTATAATTGTTTTGGTTGTTTGATAATACTTAATAATGTAGGTTTTCAATGAAAAACTCTTCAAGATTTGTAAGATCACCAGAATATTCAAATGTAAAATAATAATCTATACCATGCCAACTTGTCTGCTATATGTTTGGTTACAGTTAATGATATCTGTCAAATATGCTCAGTGACACCAGATTTAATTGGCTAACTTTTTCCGTCCTTTGTATTTTAGGACATTTTCCGTCAATTGCCTTTACCTTATATGGATGAGGAGTTCAAGCTTGACTTGACAAGTAGAGATTTAATGGAGAATAAATTGGAGCCACCTCCATATGTCCACATCAAGCGCAGTATCCTAAGCATTTCATTACGATATTAAACCAAATTCAAGTTTATGAGTTGAATTATTTAATCAAATGCTCTAGTAGTATTTTTTCTTATTTGAGTTCTGTCAATGATGCACATTGTCTTTAATATGAGTTTATAAATGGAAGTTATTTTGAGAAATTTCTTATTAATATGAATATATTGGAATTTGATATTGTGTGCAAATGTAATCTGTCATACATATATTTACTGTCATATTGCATGCTTAGTAGAATCAATACATATTAAGGTGAAACCATGGCATGAAATGAATTACAACAACTTAAGGCTACGATTTGGCTAGCTGTGTAATGAATTTTGCTTGAAATTTTGTTAACATGTATGATATTTAGTTTTTGAAAGGTGTCGTTCCTTTGTTTATTTAAGCATTGGTGATAGATGCTTAATTATCATTTAACCCATAAAACAAATCAATAGAGAAGGGAATCTAGCCGATAATAGTGTTATACTAGAAAACTGATTATTGCTGCTGTTCTCAGTATTTCAACAACCAGAGAGTTGGCTAAGATTTTTTTCTAATAGTTTTGCTTTCTATGGCTATGACTTATTGCTGATTGAGAAGAAAATTTTTTTTTTTATATTCTAGTGTACATATTGCTAGCATTTTGATTAAATTGTTATTAGAATCTTTTGAACCTAAATATAAGTCTTATAGTTTATTTCCTTAACTTTTCTCGATTTTTATTTAATTTTCTTAAATTTTTAGGATAAACAAACTTGAACAAATGCTCAAACTATATACACATCTATGGTTTTTATTTTTTCTCAAATATGTTTGCATTTAGAATAATTAGGGATCTTTTAAAAGAGAATGAGAAATAAGAAATATTGTTTTTAACTTGCTAACTGGAGATGCTGATAAATAACACTGCTTGATGTTAAACAGATTCTTTTTGTTCCATCTAAGATATAGATGATAAGATGGCTAAGCATCGGGTGTTGTGATATGTTGATATATATGGGCTGAATTATGTCTTGTCCTTTGACATGTCGAACGGAATTTCCAATTTGGCAAGTGAAAATTGTTTCATTATAAAATTGTTGTAGTTGTAGTATACTTTTTTGTTTGAATTGCCTTAAATGAAGTTAGATGTTTACCTAGTGAAGAAGAAGCGTGATGATGCTGATGATGATATTGGATGCACAAGTTGCAGTTCTACTTGCTCTGAGGATTGTGTATGCAGGTATCTATAATTTGCCTTTGAAGTATATATTGCTTAACACAGGTGTAATCTATGTTAATTAGACTCGGGGGTGAGTGTTGGATATGGCTGTGTACATTCAATTTTTTCTGAGTTTTTTCATCTATTTTGAGGGTAGGACCAACATACTCATGTCCATCGGGATGTGTCCGACATGGGTCAAGGAAAATGAAGAGTCAGAGCAATGTAGAATATATTAAGTGATCGTCTTAAGTCTATAAAAAATTCTCATAAAACATTGATTTCATTTTTCTTTTTAAAATATTTTTCCCCTAGAAAAATGTGCAGATGGGCTAGTGAACTTCTAAAAATGAGTTCTGTATGAGTATTCTTGTGGCTGTCTGTGCATTCATTTGTCCATACGTGTGCACATGCATTTCATGGTGCACATATTGTCTCCTTTTCAGTCATTCATTTTCCAATAACATACTATGATTAGAATTGCGTTATTGTTTTTTAACTTGATATTTGAAAATGATTTTTCTTCTTTCAATCTGTTATGTGGGTCTCCTAATCCAATACTGTTGGTTGAAAATCCTATAGAGTATGATTCTGCTCTTCTTAGGTCAAAAATTACACTGACTTGAAAAAAATGAACTGTGATTTGAATTTGACCTCCTTGGATTAAATTAAAGGGGCTGGTAAAAAAAAAAAGAGATGTTAATTAACAAAGAGTCTAACAGATTACTATGTCTGTATTGTGAATATGTGGTTACAAGTAATCAATCAAAATAATAGGAATTAGACCTAAGATGAATCCTAATAGAAAAACTTGAATGATCTCAACATAGTTGAGAGCAGAATAAGAAAGGTAAGACCTACACCAATATATTAATCACTACTGCCCATGAATCTCAATAACTAAACTTGATAAAACATAATTGCATTCTTTTACATTCTTCATCAGTAGAAAAACTTGATATTTCATCCACCTGATATATTATTTGAATGTACCAGTTGTCAATTATGCAAAGCAGTTATGTAAATATTTCCAATGTTTTTTTTATTCTGATTTGTCACTTATTATGACAAATTGACAATCAAGTTATAACATGCTTGTACCATATGTTAGAGTTCAATGCATAAGCTGCTCAAAGGCTTGCCACTGCCCTGAAACTTGCAGCAACAGGCCATTTCGCAAGGAGAAAAAGATCAGAATTGTTAAGGTGACAATTGGTTGTGAACTGTCAATTATCTTTATCTCAAATTTGTTTATGTATGAGCAGATGATATTTAGTGTTGGTTTTAAGACTACTCTTTAGAAATAGTGAAGGCAATTATTGCCTATAAAATATGCTTCTGAATAAGCACTTATTTTCCTTTCAGACTGAGCTTTGTGGTTGGGGAGTAGAGGCAGCTGAACCTATTAATAAAGGAGATTTTGTAATTGAGTATATTGGGGAAGGTATTTCACTTCTTCTGAATTAAAATTTTTCTGTATATCTAAACATTCTTTTTGTTCTGTAATTTTTTTCTTTTTAAATATTATGGTCAAGTTATAGTTGTTATGGAAAAATGGAAGTCTTGCATTTAAACATCCCTGAACAGTTCTCTGGCATAGAAATTCATATTAAGCATCAGTTATCGCTGTCATCAAAGAGGTGTGTTTTGTCTAAAGTGCAGCATCGTTCTCTAGTATATGTATGTTTTGGTAGCATTAAGTATAATATCAACCAAAGACATGAATCATTTATTGAATTGGACGATGTCTTGTACTTTTATAGACGAAAAATCATAATTTTATAAATATTCCCAAGGTCACTATGTCCCACATGATATTACTCAACTTCACAAAGTTATTGCTTACCACTCAATGCCTAGGGCTCTGTTATTTTTTATTTTAATTTCCATGAACACCACATAGCAGTGGACTCGGTATGAAATGTATTTTTTGTATGTGCTCCAAATGAATTATAGTTATGGAATTAGTTGACAATCTTCTCTCAACACAATTTCAATTACTTTTACTAACAAATCATGCAAAATCTGCTTATTTACATGTTAGGTGTTAAGCTGTCTAAAATTTTGGATGACATAGACCATGAAACATTCAATAGATGTATCTTTAGGAGCAACATTGGTCTAGTCTTAAATCTAACTATTTTGATCTAGTTATAGACATATATGCATTCAGTTTGACATTTAGACATGCAAGTTGTCATTGTCTATCCAGTGATGAAACATTACTGTTTCTAGCAAGAAACAGTGATTCTCGCTCCATTTGACTGATTACACTATGGAATTTCATATGTATGATGAACACAAGCACATTTTTCATCACCTGATGTTTATGGCTGGCCTTCCTCATTTTTTCTTTTCTTTTCTTTATTTGATAGCTGAATACTAATTAAATAACTATCTTTCTTTACAGTTATTGATGATGCTCAGTGTGAACAGAGGCTTTGGGACATGAAATACAAAGGGGTGAAGAATTTTTACATGTGTGAAATTCGAAAAGACTTCACAATAGATGCAACTTTCAAAGGGAACACATCTCGTTTTCTAAATCACGGCTGTGATCCTAACTGTGTTTTGGAGAAGTGGTTGGTATTAATGATATTGCTTTTTCATGTTGTGGCTGTTAAATAACCGTAAAAGTTTTTCCTAAGATTGGAAAACACTATCTTACTTGCTAAAACTTTTATTACAAAAATGGCATGCTCATTTTCAAGGAAACTCCACATGCATGCCACCAGCAATTATCCTTGTCTGTGGTTTTAGATTATAAATGCCTCATAAAAGATTTTTATGCAAATTGCAATATGCATCTGTCTAGTTATGAGGCCAATCTTTCTTTTTTTCTTTGTTTGGATGTTGGCTAAAACATATTTTAGGAATATGTTTGGAGAATATCACCAACAGCTTTTTTTTGCTTCTTGTTGGCTTTCTTTTTCTTCCATACAATTTGAAAAGCTTTAGAGGGTGAATCCTAAATGTTAACTGCATTTTCTTCTCATTTCTTTCTTTATGTGTTTGCCAGATATGGAATATACAATTTCTTCTGCAGGTTTCTGCCAGCATTTTGTTGATATGAAATTTCAAACATCCCAGTTGGAAATAGACTAGTTAGTTTAGTTTGGGCCATTGACTAGCGGATCTATTTTTACTATCCTATCTACTTCTCACGCCGTTTAGAGTTCTAGAGTAGATTTTTTTAGTGCCACTTAGATTCTTATGTTCTCATCAAAACATTCAGGTTCATGTGTTTATCATGTGTATCTGGTAGGATTCTTATGTGCTAAAGCCTATATGGTAGAACGTTCTTTAATAATATTTCATTTTAACCATTTAAAACTGCTGTCGTGTTAGGCAAGTTGACGGGGAGACACGTGTGGGAGTGTTTGCTACTCGATCAATCGAAGTTGGCGAGGCACTGACATATGACTACAGGTATGCATGGGTCTCAATATTGCTCGCACAGTGTAAATTGCAGCCATTTCTGTGTTTTTAGTGAATCGCAATTAACAGCTATGGCAATGCGTGAATATAGATCTGTATGTGGACATTTGACGTTACAGTCCATGAAAGTGGAAATTGACATGTCAGCCTAATGTTTTATTTTCTTATTTTGATTAGTAAATATTAGACTTAAATAGGTGGCAACTTTGGTTAATGAACCTTGCCTAGATTAGATTGTTATTACCTTTTGCTTTGTGAATGTGTCCCAAGAAATATGTTTAGATTATACCATATTGCCACCTTGGATAGAGTTGGAGGTTCAGAAAGCTTATCTAGACATGATTTCAACATTGTTCGAGTTGATGCCAATTCCTATCTTTAATGTTTTCTGAACGGGATGCAGATTTCTTGGCTTCATTTAATCCTTGTTGAGTAGGTCAATGGCATAGGCTGCAATCATCACATTAGAAATTTAGGAAAAAGAGGTCTTTCTTATTCCTCTATTCTCCTACAAGAACAGAATCTGAATCATAATTTTGTGGTTCTTTCAAATTGCCCCAAGGCCAAAACATTGATAGGAGATAACAGAAAACAATAAGATAAATCTAATGTGCAATTAATGATGTCAGGTATTTAAGGTTTTTGCATGATTAGATTTGTCATTAAAGTTCACTCTAACATCAAACTTGTTTGTCCAAATGGTGCAATATGATCAGTGTTGCTGTTCTCATTTGGCGGAAAATGCTAAGTTTATTGTTGTTGTATCAAGGACCAAGTATACTATTTAATATGCATCTTGTCTTGTTAAAGAAAGCTCATCCTTTCTGCTGCATTATGTAAGTTTAAATCCTATGTTTTTCCTTCTGGCCAAAAAGAATACTGTGTTTTGTTGTTGGTGAGTTCTCTGGTAAAAAATTGCTACATGATCTCCTTATTAAACACTAGTCATGGATTCACTTGACCATTGCTCAAAAGTCTAGACAAGCTAGTGAATGTTGTTATTATCATTATTAAAAGAGGATTGCTACATGATTGAAATGAAATGAATATAAGGTTTCATAGTTTGTGAAGGCAACTTCTCATCGCAATCCAGAACCTGGAGTGGATCCCTTGAGCATAGGGATAGATACCACAATGACATGGTGATGCTGTCGGCTCCTTTTTCTGGATGTGTTGTAGTTTCCATTTAGCCCCTTCTTTTAGAAAAAAGTTACTAGTAAATACTATTTCCCAGCTTAAGCTTGTGATTATTGTAATTTTTGTGTGCCTTTTGCTCTTGTAGATTTGTGCAATTTGGACCTGAAGTTAAGTGCCATTGTGGTGCGTCAAATTGTCAAGGTTATCTGGGGACCAAAAGGAAGATTGTTAAATTGGATCTTTGCTGGGGCTCTAAACGTAGGAGATCTTCAACTGCTTGCTTAGCCATCATAACTGTATAATTTGGTATCAGTTGCCTGTTTGGACTGGCTGGTTTGTTGTATATTAATCATACCATGCCAGAGGGGTGAAAAAGAAAGAAGAGAAATGAAAGAACTAAGACCAGCCAAGCTTCAACATTCTTGAAAAAAATTATGTTTTTGTTGAAAAAAATTATATGTTTTTTCTAACTTGTACAAGCCAATTCCCAAAATCTCCCTTGAATAGGCTTTGTTGTAATACCGTAGGAAGCATCTAAGCTCCCCATGTTGGGTTGCATTTCGCAGTGGATCTTGTACACAGGCTGGCTGAGAAAAATGAAAATGACTTTAAGAGGCATTAGAGTTGGTTTTCATTTTTTACTTTTTTGTTTTAGGAATTAGATGACTGATTTCTCGTTTCTGATTTATATGTTTAGTCATCGGTTGCTTGAGTCGAGGTTCCTTGCTTATTACCTTGCTCGTCCAGTTGTGGGCTTGTCGAGGCTTGGTAACAAAGCTTTTCACTATGCTTTTGAAGGGGGTAAATTTTGAATCATTTAAGATTGATTCAATATTAAACCCAACTCGAATCTAGATTTTATTATAATTATTACCATTAAGGATATGGAGAAGTGTCATTGGTGTCATATTTTTAAATAGGAAAAAAAAAAATGATGACACCAGGTCGATTGCTAAAAATTGAAGCAGTCGCAATCTTGTATGATGTATCTCAAAGCAACTTCGTGATCACTCAATCATTAAACATTAATGGGTGTACATTCAGATATTCAACCTTGTCATCATATTTGTGTCAAGTGACGTAAATGCAATATAAAGCTAGAAATAAAGAAAGAAATTAAGCAAGCATCTAAGTTAACGCAACAATTAGCCTCATGATTCGTTGGTTCCTTATTTGTCAACTCCTTTTTCATGGTATATTTTCAAGAATAGGATTGCAAAATTCTTATACAAATGTGAATTCTGGTCTCGACTGTATTATCTTGGATAGACATGCTAAACCTAGCGTGATTCCCCATTAAAATTCCACTTTCTTAGCCATAGCAATTGCTCAAAACCAATACGTGAAGTAAAGGTGTCCATGGACTGCAACTCCTCTAGTGCCTAGTTTGGCGAGACTATTTAGTCTCATTTATTATTAAACTATTAAAAACAATTTTTTATTAATATTTTAAAATATATTGTAAAGTAGTAAGTTAATTATGTAGTAAACGGAACACGTTGATGGTTAAAACTTGAAACTTCAATTTGAAGGTCATCGGATCCCAATCTTAATTATGAAGGGAGGGATAAGTTTAATGAATTGAAAAAAGCTACTTGCCTCCTATTATATATTCTTACATACTTAGATTTGGTTTTTGGTATATAATTGAAGGGACATGAATTTGGATCTTAAACTTCAATCTTCTTAAAGAGGTAACAACCATCGGGCCAAGCTTGAGTTACCTATAATTGTTGATCTTATTATTCATCATCTTGCTAGCTTAATTAGTGATATTGGTGAGGTAAAGAGAAAGAAGTTAGAATGTTCATATTGTCATATATTGAGAGAAGACAATTTTTCTGCAGATGCTTTGGCTAAATTAGCTTGTGAGGTGAAGGATTTTGAAGTTCTTCAGCCGTTTTTTCCAGAAGTTTCTAGGGGTGTGGAATATGCTTTAATTTTATTTATTTCTCTTTGTAATAAAACAATTCACTTTCTTTTGCAAAAAATTATTCGCAGCCAACACTTTAAATGAGAATACACACACTTAAATTGAGCCAACTAGCTATAGTTACTTTATTTACATTTTTTATTTGAGGGTTATATAAATTCAATCCTAATTAATTATTAAAATTTAGAGTTTAATATTTTACTAATAAATCACAAAATTAATATATTTTAATTTAAAATTACATGAAAGACACGTGTGTAACAAAATTTTAGATATTGTTGTAAAATTTATGTACTCTCATTCTTAGAATACAAAACAAATATATATTACAAATTATATTTTCTAGGTACTATCATATTAAACAATTTATTTGGTGGGAGAGTGCTAGATTCACATAAATATTACACATGTATTAAATTTAAAATTTATATTAGTTGATTCATATAATTATTTTAAAAATATGTTATTTAATAAATTTAAAATTTAACTTTAATCGCTTATAACTTTTTTCATTTGTTTCATCTTTTATATATATATGTATATTAAAAAAAAACAATTCACATGCATTAACTAATAAGTTTTATTTTTTAATTTAATCCTTATTTTATTATATGTGCATGAAATTTGTGTAAAGTGTATACAATCCTTCCCTATTGGGCATGAGCTGTTAGTTGTCAGTCAACTGCCAGCTGTATCTTTTCTGACAAAATTGAGGATCAGGCAGCAAATTCTCTGGGTGACTAATAATTTCACTTTGTTATATGTCAAAGAAATATAAAAAAATTTAATTAAGTTGAGGGGTATTTTAGACTTTTTATCAACAAAAAGGCCAAAGCATACAATTAATTATACGGAACTTTTAACCGTGTTAGGTAACTTGTGTTGCTTCCAAGAGACTTGATCTTACATGATTCCAACAAATCAAAGATTTTCCAATTATTATCAGATTTAGGAAAAGGTGAAATTCTGTCTTCTCTTGAGAAAATTCCTGCATATCTTTTCCCAGCACTTCCTATCAGGTTCAGCTATCTCTAAGCCAACTTTGGCGTTCGCAGCAAAATCTCTCTGTATTCAACAAACATCAAAATGAGGAAGAATAACGGAGGGAGCAAGTATTGAAATGGGATCAGAATAGAAGGGATCGGAGCCGCCTGGTTACCTCAATGGAATTGTTATTGACAAGGCGATCGATGAGGTTGTAAAGGATGTCCTTGGTGTACTCAGGGTGGCCTTGAATGCCAAGAATGTGTTGCCCAATTGCGAACATCTCCACACCCGTCTTGTCTGAGAATGCAATCACTTCAGCTCCCATAGGGATTTCCCATATCTCATCCTGGTGACACTCTATAATAGACAGGGAAGAAGGTATTTCATCCAAGTCTTCCAGGAAGCTGGATTCGGACAAATCTTTTACAATTTTTACTTTCCTCAGCCCAATATCCCATCCAGTGCATGCCTTCCCAACTTTTCCCCCCAACGACCTGCACAAAACCTGTGGACAAAAAATGGAATAAATATTCTGGAATTTTGAGATTACTGAAATTACGGAGAAATTAATCAAGGAAATATGGTTCTAGATTTAGTACCTGATGGCCAAAGCAGATCCCAAGAACTTTCTTCTCCATGGCATCAAGGGTCTGCAAAAGGAAGCAAAGCTTGAGAATCCAGTAGTCATTCCCATAAGCGTCATAGGGACTGCCACTGACCACAAATCCATCATATTTGTGGAGCTCATTCATGTCAGGGAACTCTCCATCAACAACCCTGAACAAGTCCCACCTTTCACCTTCTTCTCCAAAAGCAGCTACAAACACATTGAAATAACCACCGTACACTTTCTTTACATAGTCAGAATCCCTGGCTGCCAGCAAAAGAGCATATCTCCTTTCTCCACCCGCAATTAGCTTCATTTTTATCAGTCAACAACTGAAACTTATTCAACTTCTGAAACTTTTTCAGGAGTTGTCAGGAAGCGAAAGAGAGTGCCAAAAAAAAAAAAATTAGAAATTGAGAATGATATCTAGTTAGGGCGAGTTGAAGATTGAGGCAGGAAAAAGGAGCTTTATAGAGAGCTTGTTCAATGAGGCCACTTAGAAGTTTCTATTGGGGCAGATTCCTGGATTATTGAAATTTAATAAAAAAACCAATCTGCCAATGAACGTTGCATGGGTTTAAATTCTGTGTGGATTTTGACAGATCCATTTGGACTGTTGGCGACACGGTTTGGGCGCATTCCATTTCCTTGCTTTACGGGCAAGAGATTCACCTGCGTGTAAAATTATGATGGCGTGTCAAATTAGGATGGCTGTTACCCTACACGCTGCAGGCTTCCGTGCCAACCCATTATATTATTCGTGGTTCACGGTAATTTATAAAATATTGTTTGTTTGAATAATTATTTTTTATGATTTTATCTTATAAAAAATATTTAATATATAAGATTTATATCACAGATAATAATTAAATTTTAATATATAGATGATGTAAAATTCATAATTTTTTTAAAAAATTATAACATCCTTCTCCGTTTGAATAAGGATTTATTATTTTGATGATATATCACTAGTATTTTAAAGTTGATTCTAACATTAAATGTCATGATTCACGTTAATCTACAAAATATTATATACAATCTATAAATTTTCATAGTTTGTTATTATTATTATTATAAAAGACATCTTATAAGTCAAAAAATGATATAAACACTTTTGTATCAAATAAAATTTTGATACATAACCGATCTAAAATTAGTGATTATTTTCTAAAAATTTCTAGGTACTCCAAAAGTTCATATATTCTTCCATAACACTTGAGAATTGAGATAGGGTCAACATTAATTTGGCTGTGACTAGAGTAATTCAACTTCAGGTCAACAAATTAAAGATATGAGAGCATTAAATTTTTGACTTCGATATAGTTTGTCTTGAATAATTTTCTAAACAAATTATTCTACAGCATGTGCTTTTCAAACAAGATTAAGCAAAAAAAAAAAAAAAGAAGAAGAAAATCAAATATCAATTCGAAACATAGTATTAGATTAGATTTGGATTAATTTTTATGTATTCAATTCAATCAAAAACCTTTAATTTTTATTTTGTTTGATTCGGTACATAAGCTCAAAAATTAAAATTATCCAAATCGATTGGAATTTTATATTTTATTATTATTTTAATAATTGCCAATTTAAATATTTAATTTTTAAATAAATATATATAAATAATAAATATAAAAAAAATATAAAAAACGAAAAATTGACTAATTGACTAATGTGAAATTCATGATTCTTTTTAGAACATGACATCTAACTGCTCCAAAGGTCGTATATTCCTCTATGACACACTTGAGAATTGAGATAGATTCAACATTAATTTGGTGTGAGCAGAGAGCGCCATTCAACTACCGGTCCAACAAATTAAGGATTTGAGAACATTGAGCGTTTGACTTGGTATAGTTTTTGTCTTAAATCATTTTCTAAACAAATTATTCAACAAATATGAGCTTTTCAATGAGGACTGAGAAATAGTGATCATGTGTGTAAATAATACAAATTTCAATAGTTAAGTAATTATTTGATCTCCAAATTATATCTCTTCTGTCAATTATTTGATATATAAAATTGTCCATTCAACATTAACTTTCTAAAATTAGGATTTGCTTAGTGTTCATGACTCATGTCCAGTGGAGGATCACTAGTGATATTAAATTATCAGTATCAAGAGTCATTTTTCTATAATCATAATTATTTGAAACAAGTAATGGTGGATTTAAATTTTTTTAAAAAAAAAAGTATCCAAGATTTATTTATTAAAAAATTATTGATGGATTTATTAATTTTGTTGATGAAAATTAAAAATGTCCAAAAATAAATTTTAGAAGTATTCAAAAAATATTTTCAAATTGTTTTGTTTTTCAATTTTTATGGATATTTGTGGATGTTAGAAAATTTAAGAAAAACAAAAATAATATGAAAGAAGAAAATATGGCTTTGAGGCGTGAAGAATATTATTTTAAAGGCAATTATGCTTATAGAATACAACAAAACCTTAAAAACTCTTTAAATCAGAAGTAATGAAATTTGTCAAACAGAAAAATTTATTTATAATAAATGAACAATCACCAATCAAGCCAATTCAAAAAGTTATGACATTTTGTATAGTCATGTTTTCTTATTTAAATAAACTTTATTTAAACAGTCATATTTTCTCTGTTCAAAATATGTTTATTCAAAATTAGTAATATTTTAAATAAATAAATAAAAAAATTAAAAGATTTAAAAATTAAATTTATTTGTCAAGCAAGCCAAAGTGCCTCAAGTGCTTCAAGTACCAAAGTGCTTATCTTTTGACTTTTAAAATTGTCTGACCCACTAAAAAAACTCATAACAAGCTCAAATGACTTAACCAACTCTAACACTTAATTTAATTACTTAATTAACATAAGTAATTTCTTTTAAACCACATATAAATGATCTTTCTACTCAATGTGAGATACATCACATTCTAAATTATTAGTAATCCCCTATTAATTTGGAATGTTGGTACTTAATTTTTAACCTTTCACACAAATAAATATTACGAATACAAGAAGGTATCTTTCGATTTAAACCTTCAATTAGTGTATATACCTTAGAATTTTAATAAAGTTGATGGTGTCCGCAAATTAAACTTAAATTCTTAGTGATAAAATTGAAGATATAACACACATAATACTTATTCAATATTCTGTTAGAGGTTTATAATCGCTTTAGCACTATTATGACTATGTGCTTATCCTTATTCATAAACATTTACAAGAAAGTTTTCAATTTTCTTGTTGAAGCGGCACCACTTCTATGTTTATATAGGTGAGATTTCTTATTTATGTCTTTATTGGTATAGACATTAAATTATAAACTTCATTAAGAGTTTAATCTCATCTTCCATTTACGTAATGGCTTGCACTAATATTCCAAATATTTAAAATGGGTTAACTAGTGTTTACAGACATATAACAATAACTTGTTGTTACCTATGAAACTTTGTAATTAGAGGTTACTAATTCAAAGTTAGGTTCCCATTATTGGTGTCTAAAAGGAATTTTAAACCCATTCCATTTGTGGTGCTTCTTACCAAATTTCTAGGTAGCACATTGGTAAGAAAATCTGTTAAGTGTTAGTAGATTTAATATATATTATGATAATCATCCTATTTTTTTATCAATTCTCTGATATAATCATATCTTAGACTAATAAGTCTAGATTTTTCATTATAAATTTCACTGTAAGCTCTAGACATTGTAGCTTCACTATCACAGTACAAGAAAATGACTGTCATTGGTTGTGGCCACAACTTTATATCTTTTAATAAATTTTTTAGCCATTCAACTTCCTTGCCTGCTATAGCTAAAGCTATAAATTTAGATTCCATAGTTGAATGTGAAATGTAAGTTTGTTTCTTGGATGCCCAATTAATTACACCACTTACAAGGGTAAACATCCATCTTGAAGTGGGTTTATTGTCACTTATACTAGTGATCCAACTTGCATCTGAATATCCTTTCAAAATAGTTGAATATTCAGAATAAAATAAGCTAAAATCTTTAGTTCTTTTAAAATAACCTAGAACTCTTCTTATGGCTTTCCAATGACTTAGACTAAGCTTATTTGTATATCTTGATAACTTGTAAAAGCTATATCTAGCCTAGTACAATGCATAGCATACATAACACTTCCAATAGCACTACCATATTCAAGTTGTGCAATTGCATAACCTTGATTTTTTGTTAGTTTTATACTTGTATCATATAAAGTATTGGGTTTTTTTATATTAAGATACTTAAACTTATTAAACAGTTTCTCAATATAATGACTTTGATTAAGTACAAAACCTTTATTATATCTTTTAACTTTAATTCCCAAATTGGTATCAACTTCATTCAAATCTTTCATTTTGAAATTAAAAATCAGATACCTTTCAATTTTATTTATGCCAATCATATTAGTACTAAAAATTAACATATCATCCACATAGAGACATCTTATAACTCCATATTTTTTAGTAAATTTTGAGTAAATGCACTTATCTGTTCCATTATGTTTAAAACCATTGGCTACTATGGTTAAATCAAACTTTTCATGCCATTGTTTAGGAACTTGCTTTAGCCCATAAAATGACTTAATTAATTTACAAACTTTAGTCTCATTACCTGGAAGAATAAAACCTTCTGGTTGTTCTATGTATACTTCTTCCTTTAAGTCACCATTTAAAAAAGTTGTCTTAACATCCATTTGATGTATATGTAATTTATAAATGGAAGCTAAAGCTATAAGAACTCTAATGGATGTTGTTCTAGCTACTGGAGCATATGTATCAAAATAATCTATGCCTTATTTTTGTTTAAAACCTTTTGCAACTAATCTTGCTTTAAAGGTTTGTACAGAACCATCTGTATTATTTTTTTCTAAACACCTATTTACATCCGATATGTTTAGAACCTAGAGGTAAATCTACCAAAACCCATGTATTATTGGACATAATTGAGTCCATTTTATTATTCATAGCCTTTTTTCAAAAAACAACATCTCTTGAAGTCATAGCTTCATTAAATGTTTTAGAGTCTTCATCTACATTTAGTAGAATTGTTGTTATATTAAGCACTTTGGTTATATTTTCTTCTACTAGGAATACTATAAAATCTAGAGAAACAAAATCAAAAGGTAAAAGATTCTCTTTTCTAGTTCTTTTGCTCATTCTAAGTTCAACAGAATCATTACTTTCTTTTCTTTTATTTTCAGTCATAGGAATCATTTCAATTGTTTCTCCATTTAGTATCACATATAAATTTATTTTCAAAAAATTCTACATGAATAGATTCGACAATAACATTAGTATTTAAAATCAAGAAGTCTATATGCTTTTGAATTCTATGGCATAACCAACAAAAATACTTTTAATACCTTTAGGTTCTAATTTTGATTTATAAGGATTAGGTATTTTATAAAAGGCAATGCACCCCTACACTTTAAAATAATCCAAATTTGGTTTTCTGCCATGATTCCAAAGTTCATATAGTGTTTTTAAGAATTTATTTGAAAGAATTCTATTATGTATATTGCATGTTGTTAAAAGTGCTTCTCCCCAAAGATTTAGAGGTAATTTAGCATTTAA